AGTATCGGAAAAGGCCTCCATATGGGATCGCGGAAGAACATAAGCTTGTGACGGCAGAAAAAATGTGTCAGGTGGGTCTCTATTGGTTTCCTCATAATGAGAATTTATAGAAGTGGAATTAGGTACGGAGCTTTGAGGGGCCCAGAAGGCAATAGGGCGCGACCCCCCAGGGCGCGCCCTGTTGCCTTGCCGTCTCCTTGTTCATCCTCTGGTCTCTTCCCGAAGCTTCTAGGGTTTCTTTTGTCCAGAAAAAAAATCGTCAAAAAGTTTCATAGTATTTGAACTTCGTTTGGTACTGATTTTCTGGAAAACAAAAAACAAGCAGAAAACAACAACTGGCACTAGGCACTGGGTTAATAGGTTAGTCCCAAAAAATGATATAAAATAGCACAAAAATGCATATAAAGCATTCAAGATTGATAATATAATGGCATGAAACAATAAAAATTTATAGATACGTTGGAGACATACCATGAACTTCTCGATTTGCTTCGTATAGGGTCTCCGTTAGCGACGATGATTCATGTCTTGTTTTGCCGGCATTCACGTCCACCTCCGTCGCCTTGACATGGCAAGTCCATCTTGTATACCCAACCATGAAACCCTGACTATGAGGTGCTACTGCAAAGTAGAGGACGTATACATAATCACGTTCTGGCAATTAACAGATGGATAACAGATCTTCTTATGTCCCACCTTCTTCAGGAAAACCTTGGCGGCCTTAAGGAACTTCGTCAAACCGCTGACGAATGTGAAAGTCACCTGAGGCTCATACACCCAACTTCAATCATCCATCGACGCGCCTGTGACAAAACAACATCATACGACAACTTTAAATCAATTCATGCATATATATATACTTGGAGAAAACTATTAAATAATCAAATTAAGATTAATGAAAAAATACCTCCATTAGTTGAGGAAAACAGTATATAAGGTTCCCTCTCCACAAATTCGGAGTGCACAAAGGAGGGAGAACAACCTACCATCACATACACAACAAAATGCAAATTACACTCAAGGATTCATACAACTATGAAACAAAACAAAAGATCTAGATCTAGAGGAGAGAGAAGAGAGAAAAGAGGAGAGGAGGATAAATGCTAAAAATTAACAGAGGAGGAGAGGAGGGAGAGAGGCATTTACCTTGCAATAGATAAGGGGAATGTTCCTACAAGAATTTATTGTGGTTGGGAAAGAAATTTTGGGGTCATCTTCTACCTCCGCCTCAATTATTGGACTGGCCAGGCAAAGTGGCCCGCCACATATAAGTTGTTATATGTGACGGGTCGTGCAAAGGCGCCTGTCACATAAGAGTGGTGGGCTCGGGACTGAGAATCCACCCATCACATATGGGATTGCATATGTGATGGGGCCCGTCACATATGTCTTTAAGCCCAAAATCACACATGACCTTTTTTGTGGTAGTGAGACCAAGTTTGCAATTTTAATTAGCAAAACTTGAAGGGCCAAAATCATACTTTTCCCCAATCCAAATAGGTCCTGAGATGACCACAATAAGAAATCTCCCAAAATGTGGTAGAAGTTTGTTCTACTCTTCATTTTTTTTCTTTATTTATTATGAGCCGACTATGAAACAACATTTTTTTGAAAAAAAATTTGACATTAGGTTTCGAGGGCTCATCACATCCATTACTGGTTTTACGTGGACTTCCTTTTCTTTTCAGATAATGGTAACAAAAACTCTGGTTCTTGTTTTTGATTTATAGTACAGAAGTAGGTGAGATCATATTCAACTGCTTCGAGCCTTCTCCTTTGACAAGAAAAATTAGCCTCGTTATATGTCATCACCTACTTACTTAGATCATCACATATAATTATGCATTCCCTTCTCATGGAAATATTCCTCCATAGCATAAGCAAAATATGGGGCCAGAAACTAAAGAGGAGCCGAAACCGAAGTAGTGGCCGCTACTAAAATGGAATATTCCCAAGCGGCGCCCGTTACGGTTATGAATTTAACCCCATACCCCGATCGTATTGAGCATAGATACTTTGTGTTGTAACTGTATTTTTCTTTATGTTAGACACGTCTTATTTTGTTGAGTTATATTAGTTTAAAAGCGTAGGAAATTCAACATATTCCAGCCTATAACCTTCAGAAACTAGTGTGGGAACCAGAAACTCAACCCTGATCTCGGTCCTCGCGTCGCTCTACCTCCATGACAAACATGGCCCATGCCCCCTTCCCCTCAGACCCACCCTTCTATTTCTGCCTATAAATACCAAGCCACGCTGATCACTTGGACAGCCAACGAGCCAAAAGAGTCATTTCTGCTTGCAACACTTAGCAGAGGAGATATGGCCCAGAGGACAATTTCATTGTGCCTAATCCTTGGCTTACTAGCCGCGGCAGCACCTGCCAATGCAACCAGCTTTGATTTCTATTACCTCATCCTAATGGTACGATACAGCATGCAGATGCTTATTTCCTGCATATGGATTAGTTATATTGCTATTTACTACTAGTACTTAGTATATTGTCTTGCTTAATATATAGGATTATACTCCCTTC